GTCAATAGCAGGGTTACTTGGGTGGTTACGCTGAAGCACTGAAAAATATTTTTCAGGATAAGAAAAATTTTTCGAAGCAATCGAAATTACGACAAAACAATAATTTTAATGACTTCAATTTATTATATCCTATTTAAAAAAGTATATGACTGAATTTGATTTTTTTTACATACCATTGTTGGAGCTCATATAATCCATGAAAAAAGCAAAGACCGTAGGTGATAATGACGCCGTTCTTGTTCTGCTTATGTATGAGTCAAGCTCAGTGTAGAAACGTTTTACACATGCAAGACGACTTAAATTACGAAGTTGCTGAAAATGCAAATAATTTAACTTTAGATGTTTGATTTTCATCCATTTCAAAATCTAAAACTGCATCTTTTCAAAGTTTTGGAAATATTTTGGTGCAAATATGAAGAGATCAACACTAAATCAAACCTTGAAAAGCCAAACTTTCAAGCTGATAAAGAAAGCTTTTCAATGTTTCATATGATATCCAGTCATACAAATAACGGTGCAAACATAACTCACATTAACTGCGTCTTCGTAATCATCATTGTTAAGACATCTTTGCCACGAGAAACTTTCATACTGGATACCCTTTAGAAAGAACTTGCAAGTAGAACACGAACTACGAGATTTCGAAACGATATTACCTAAGGAACTTCTAAATTTGAAAATATTTTTTCATTTTCGATAATTTTGAATCAAATGAAGTTGAAAAACATGACTTTTAAATATGAGTAAAATTTGAAAAATCTTTTATCAATATATGGCTGAAAAATAATGAAAGACATCAGTTGATTGATATGCTTGGTGATGAGAAGTAATCTATACTTTCATCAAGTGATTAAATAAAGTGGACTCATTATGTTGTTTGATGAATGCTCAGATAATATTGCAATTATTACGAAAGCTGTAAAGATAAACTTACGGCAGGTTATAAATCATATTTGTCAGAGTGTCAATAGCTGATGTAAGGCCAGTAGTAGTTCCCGCTTCATGAAACTTCACTTTGCCTTGAAGAAGATGGGTTTCAGGGTCAAAATCTAATA